TACACCTAGCCTTCTCTGACAAGGGAATAAAATATCGGAGGGCCCGTGTGTAATTTGGGCACGTTAAATGTCCCTTGGTGGTCTAAAATTGATAATGATAACCTTCGGCCGCCACCCGGGAAAAATTCAAAATTTCCTACCAACTGAAAATATTAGGTGTGTCCCGCGTGCTCATATGACCTTATGCAGTTTCGAGCACCCTTAAACACTTTCCAAATATACATAACAAGAGGGAGTTAGACATAGTATAGATCTACATAAAGCAAAAGATGGCAGTGCCTGAATGATCTTATTTAAAACTCAAACCCACCAAACTTCAAGAAGGGATAGGACTCCTAAAGGTTATTTCGGCTATCACTATCAAGTTGTATTCTACTGCTTGGATGCATCAGCACTTCTGAGGTCCGGGGGTCAACAGCCCTTTGAGGTCTTATATATAGGTCCAACAGGTTTTTGAGGTCTTATATACAGGTCCAACAGCCTTTTGAGGTCTTATATATAGGACCAAGATCAACAGCCTTTTGAGGTCTTATACTTATATAGGACCAACAGCCTTTTGAGGTCTTATATATAGGACCAACAGCCTTTTGAGGTCTTATATAGGACCGACAGCCTTTTGAGGTCTTATATAGGACCAACAGCCTTTTGAGGTCTTATATATAGGACCAACAGCCTTTTGAGGTCTTATATATAGGACCAACAGCCTTTTGAGGTCTTATATAGGACCAACAGCCTTTTGAGGTCTTATGTAGGACCAACAGCCTTTTGAGGTCTTATATGTAGGACTAAGACCAACAGCCTTTTGAGGTCTTATATAGGACCAACAGCCTTTTGAGGTCTTATATGGGACCGACAGCCTTTTGAGGTCTTACATAGGACCAACAGCCTTTTGAGGTCTTGTACTTATATGGAACCAACAGCCCTTTGAGGTCTTATGACCTAGAGCCTTTTGAGGGATAGGGGTCGACAGCTCTTCTGAGAGCTATGGGCAACAACCCTTCTGGGCTAGGGGTGACAGCCTTTGTTGAGGATGAGAGGGAAACCTTTCTGAATGAATAATGTTTGATATGGGCTTAGTTAAACTGCTTTTGTCAATGTTTGGAAACTGTATTTTGATGTGATAAGCTGGAATGATGAAGTGCGTCATGACCATGCGACTGAGGCACTTTAAAAGCACAAACATACGCACGCACCCACAAACACACACACACACACACACACACACACACACAAACAAAGAGGGAGAGAGAGAGAGAGAGAGAGAGAGAGAGAGAGAGAGAGAGAGAGAGAGAGAAGCAGACAAAGAGACAGAGATACAGACAGACGGATGGTCAGACAAACGGACATTATCAATAGCGTCGATGACAGCAACAACAAAAACAAAAACAAAGTATAACGCAATAAAAGTAAACCCCTTCAAAAGTGCTTGGAAAAAGTAAACGAACGCAAAATACAACTTCTCTTACTCATATATATGGGAAATATTTGTCAATTGCTTTACTTCAGACTTTCATGAGAATGCCACTGAAACATAACATAAACTCATCTCACATGAACCTTTAGAGAATTAGAACTCAAGATCACTCAATATCTCTGTGGATAATTAGGGGGCTCTCGTGGCCTAGAGGTTAAGGTGTTCACCTCTCATTCAATAGGTCCCGGGTTCGAATCCGGGTAGAGACGTAAAACTTTTCTTCTCTAAAATTTTCTTCTTTCACCTCCTATCCTGCTCTCTAGCAATGGTCTGTCGTCTGTTTTCGTCTCCACTTTCTGCCTTTACCCCCTCACCTCCTTTGCCCGCTCCCCTGGGCTCCTGACTCTTTCTGCAGCCTTCTACTGCTCCTTCTTACTGCTGTCTTTCAGCCACACCCCTGAACTAAGTGTCGTTTCGAACTTAAAGCACAAAGGGTACAGCGAGCAGCTGCCAACTGATGGCATTTGGGACTGTTCACAGCTTCCTGTTTTCACTATTCACAACGAAAGAAACATATTGTAATCTGTACATATCTTTCATCCCGTGTCTCTATTCCGAGACAGAAAGTATCTGGAAATATCGTCGGTGTAGGACTACTAACCGTGTATCCGCAAAATTAGGCCAAACCCTTATTTGTCTCAAATTTAAATTTTATTAATCAAAACTGACATTACAATTGCTAATACTACGGTATCGGTAGGCAAAAAGAACAACTGACACTGACACAAATTCGAACTGTGGCGTGCTTTTGTGTTGAAAGGATAAACGATGCAACTTGACGTTTTCCGAGAAGTTGAATGAACAATGGATTATGAACTAGACTATTGCACGTGGATAGTTTGTTACACCCCCCCCCCCATTGTACAGACTTACTTATATTATTATAGGACCAACAGCCTTTTGAGGTCTTATATAGGACCAACAGCCTTTTGAGGTCTTATATAGGACCAACAGCCTTTTGAGGTCTTATATAGGACCAACAGCCTTTTGAGGTCTTATATAGGACCAACAGCCTTTTGAGGTCTTATATATAGGAGCAACAGCCTTTTGAGGTCTTATATAGGACCAACAGCCTTTTGAGGTCTTATATAGGGCTAATAGCCTTTTGAGGTCTTATAGGTTCTTCTATTTACTAGCAAACATGTTTCTTTTGCCTAGAACTAGAACCATTGCACCCCCCCCCCCCACCCCCACCCTCAATCTTTTGATGGCACCCACGTCTACGATGTCGATAGTAGGCTCTCCAATGTGCGAAATGGTGAAATGGTATGGGTTTAACACCTCTGTCAACACTATTAGGTTATTTAAGAGGCGGGCCTCCAAGTTTAATGTCCGTCTCCGAAAGGACCGAGCCAAGTGGGAAATTCGTGTCAAGTGCCTTTCCCAAAGACACAACGAGCTGAGGCTCGAACTCGAACCCCCAAGCCTGCAATCTCACGAGTACGAGTCCGGTAGCCTGACCACTAGGCCACCAAATTGTATTAATAGAGTAGTACAGTGTTACAATTTTAAAAAATCGTGTTAGGACATGCAGTTTGGAATTGTGTACGAAAACAAATAAATTATAGTTCCCAGCAGTTTCGGAAGTAAACAGGATGAAGAAGCGCTTCGGCTGAAAATACAAAACGAGCGTCTTGTAGTTGTAGTTTTTTCATAACAATGCATATATATCTTTACAAGTAGGCCTATTATGTTCTGATGATTATACCGATAATTGTTATTCCCCCAAGAGAAACCCAGCATCAATATGAATTAATTGTGTTGCAAGTGCTGGAAAACTCTCACTAAAGCTAAAGAACACCACCACCCCCCCCCCCAACTATATTTCGGGAGTCGGGACAGAATATATCAGCTAAATCTCGCTTCAAGTACGACCTCAAGGTGTGGTATGGTTTGTTGGTGTGGTATGAAGTGATATTTTTATGCTAAGGTGTGAATATACGTTTGGGTGGTATTGATAGTTGGTGTTGTATGAACTGATATTTTTATGGTAAAGTGTGGTATACGTTTGTGTAGTATGGTTTGTTTGTGTGGTATGAAGTGATATTTTTATGTTGAGGTGTGGTATAATACGTTTGGGTGGTGGGGTGAGATGTGGTACAGTGTGGTGTCCTAAGAAATGGAATGGCGTGGTGTGATAATCATGTATTGTGTGGCTGAGTGCTATGGTATGGTGGATATGGTATGGTATGGTCTGATACGCGTCCCAGAAATCAAATGAGGTAGTGCTTGATGAAGCCCACGTGGGACGCTCAATGTTAGAAACAATCAGGAAACGACAAATGCAGTTTTTGGGACACCTGAATAGACATAAGGGTCTTGAACATCTAGCTCTCATGGGCAAAATTGAAGACAGGCGAGGCAGGAGTAGGCCCGGAAAAATCTACGTGGTGAACCTAAATAAATGGGTAACAGGGAAAGATCGGAGAAACGTAGCTTTTTTGAGAGCATCCGAGCAAAGGAATGAATGGAGAACCATGATCGCCGATGTCTGTCACAGATCTGGCACTGGATGATGATGATGCTGGTCTGATATGATGCGGTATGGAACAGTTAGGGCTTATGGCATAGTGTGGTGCATGTATGACGTGGTGTGGCGTGGCGTGGTGTTCGGGGTCTAGTTTAGTACAGTAAGGTATGTTATGGTACTTTCTGGTATGGGTTTAATTAATGTGTAGGCTAATTCTTTTCAACCTTGTAATGTTATTTAACAGCAAGTTCTCTAAATCTAAAGCTAACATCCGACAGGGCCGAGCCAAATGAGTGGTGAACCTTAAGGGGGGGGGGGGGGGGCTACACCTGAAGGCTATCTCGCTTATTACTGGACCGAATTTTACCAACTTTCACACATATAACAAGCATAGTAAGGAATTTTAAAAACCGCAATCAAATTCGAGAAAAAGTTTCGTTTCCATGGATACGGCAGCCATATTGGATTTTGTTGACATGTCTTATGTAATGAATATCGCACTTACTGCTGATGGAAATTGATTGTTTTTTTTGCATGCGTGTTAACAAACATTATATCAAAAAAATTTTCAGTTATTTTTTTTCTTAAACGAATTTTTAAAAAATTTTATGAATTTTTTTCTGAGGTACTATTCAAGTTTGCCAAAAATCCGTGAAAATTCACACTCCAGACACCAGCAACAAAAAACTGTTTCAAATATATCAAAAATTCAACAAACCAACCTTTAGTATTACATCTTTTCTTCATTCGGTGAAAATTTCATGAAGATTGGATGAAAAATGATGGAGTTATTCAAAAAAGTATAGAGCAAAGTCGCGTTTTGAGAAAACGGCGGGTAAAAAAAAATAAATATTGACTTTATGAGGAAATGGCGGTGATAAACATGCCCGGTATGGGAAAAAAATACGGTTTTTCGGGGTTCTTCTGCGATGAAATAGTTGTAGGAGAGGCTGAGGAAGTTAAAAATGCCTACAACTCAAATTCCATAATTTTGAGCCGAATCGGGGCTTTGCTCCCCTCCCCCCCCTTTAAGCATTCACCAATAACAGTGCTCAGTCAAACTCGGTAATATGATATCTTTTTGAGAATGGTAGCAAGTAATTTGTCCTGTCCAACATTTCATAGAGATGAAAGATCTAATTGTTAAGATGCATTTTCTGTATTTAAAGCTGTGTTATTTTCAAGAAGATTTAAACTATTATTCGCGATATTCAAAAGCATGTCCAGAAAATATCTTTCCCGAGGGGTATAAACGTGCTTGTGTAAATGAAACGCGAACGCCTTCACACCATCCCAAGTGTCCGATACGATTGTCTTCACTTCCTCCTCCGGTAGAAGGAACCCGTATGAAGAGCTCTCGTGCGGCGGAAGTTCCACAGTGTAAGCGTACTTGACCCCGACTGTGCCCCGGACATAGTCGTCGGACGCCCCGGCGGCGGGATCTGTGGAGTTCAGGAGGGAGGGGGAGGGGGAGGGGGAGCAATTAAAGAAAATTAACAACCACACATACATGATACACATTAGTTTGCATATTTCGTCTCGTGTTCAGGAA